TATGAGAAACGCATGTTTTTGAGCAATCAACCAATCAATGCTTATGTTTTTAAAACAGTCTATTTTTTTATAATGTGTCTAATTTTTACTCTTTGAGCTTTCAAATATTAAAATAATTTCCAGTGTTTATGTGCGAATGGTTTCATTGGCCTGATCCAAACACGGGAACGACCAATCAGAACATCTCTTCCCACATATATCCATAATAAATGTTTGTAACAAAACATTTGTAAATCTGCAACAACATATATTGATTACTTTCAAACTGAGCTGGACAGATCCAGTCAGAAATGGACAAAATTGTTGTGCGATGTACATGTTTTTGTTTGTTATTACTAAATTTAAATTTTTGATGAATTCAACTCCTCTGATCCGCCAATCCCTCTGATGATATATATTGCACTTTTCAAGTGTATAATTTCGAATGCATACTTTGTTGCAGGTTCATTTTTAGATTGCTCTGACACAAATCAAATGAAATTTCCTGCCAATGTGCCAGAAGCGGGAAAAAAAACATTCTATGTCGGTCAGACTCCCACACAATATATTTGGAATACAGACGTGACTGGTTGTTCTAGAAATGCTAATTTAATATACGACAGTCCCCCGAGCTTATGCACAGAAATCGATAAAAGAATTCCATGGCTCGCCAAACAATCGCCAGATAGTAAGTGAAAAGGTTCACATGTGTATATGTAGTATAGTTTAGACGTATCTGTTCAAAAAATGAAAGCACCTAATGGACCGATGGCGGAGACGACGACAAAGCAAACAGGGATTGGTTTCTGTATTATGATTAAATAAATAATCTGAAACTATTTTAAAGTAAAAAATATTTGAATTATGGTATAGCTTCGTATAAAATTAATTCCTCTCAAGATTTACTCACATTTGAGTTAACCCAAATGTTAATAGAACAGACAAATAACTTATAAAATATATCTCATTTTATACAAAATTGAAGTGCTTTCCGTATGTTTCGTGCTTGAAAACAGTAAGTCAATAACTGATGATAATCTCGGGCTGAGGTCCATGTTTAATCGATTATTTTATTTTATACACGCCAAACAAAACTAAACTTAACAGAACACTTTATGAGGAAAGATCCTGTATTGAACACATTAGCTAAACTACGTTTTATGGGGGTCGTGGGGCAGACTATATGTTGTTGGTAAAACGACGAGTGCAAATCTTTGCTTTTTTTCAGGTAAGATAGAAATCACGCAAAGCTCACCTGGATGTCCAAAGGCATGCTCCTCAGAAGAAATTAAAACTTCTGCTTGTACATTTCAGTCTAACAATGAGTATTTAAAGAGCAGTGGAAGGTATATATTGCATCGACGATTTGTAGTTGCTTTGACTGCACAAAAACTGTTTTTTTAACTTTTAAATAAATACGAACACTTGATTCATATATGTCTCACAATTGATGGTTGAGTTTGAGCTTTGTTATGTGTTACAGTTCATCGAATCAAAACTCACTCCAGATGTACGGTGAAAAGATCAACTTCACGCAACAGAATCAAATCAGCATTTTCTTTCCCCAACAATCCCGCAATCTCCATCATCATGCTCAATCTGTCCAAACTCCATCTTATGAGACCCCGTTCACACCTCAGCCCAGTGTATGTTCAGACAAATCAGCAAACATGGCATCATCCACGACCAACAACTTCTTAAATAACAATATTAATGATCTCCTGATCAATCAGGACTACGCACATGCTTGCTGCGATAAGTCGATTGAGAAAAATGGCAACCAGATTTTTGAAAATTGTAAATATTCAAAATCTGCAAACTCAGTATGTCAAGCGGAAAAGAAAAAATACAAAAATGGGACAAAAGCAGCCCAGAGTCGTTCTAAAAAACCACGTTTGTACCATTTTTTATTGGAGTTGCTAGACAAACCTGACCTCTACTCGAACATTATTGTGTGGATTGATCGTAAAGATGGAGTTTTCAAGTTTATCAACTCATCAGCGGTTGCCTCTCAGTGGGGCAGGCGTCGTGACAAGCCAAACATGAAATACGAAAACTTTGCTCGTTCTTTGAGAACATATATTTCAAAAGGATTCATGGCAAAGCCGCCAACTCGCCTCGTGTACAAGTTTACGAGTAAGGCTTTTAGTCATTCGCATTGAAAGGAAAGTATCGACCGTCATGTGACTTGTTTCATCGAACATTCTATAACACCAATTTCTATTAAACTGTCTCACTTGTTTTCAAATATGCTGGGAAAATCCAAGTGAATGTATATCAACATTTTCTAGACGAACAGTAGTGTTGTCAGCTTGCAAATTTTGTCGTGCAATGTCTTCACTTACAGAAAAAACATTATATTTCCATAATGAAATAAATGGTGATAATGTTGTGGAATTTACATGTCAGGACTGAAACTTTCTGGCTGGCTTTGCTACTGTGGAGGTAAAAACACAAGTGAATGTTCACTTGTGTTTTTAAAACAAAAGTGAACATTCGGATGTGTATAGATCAGTGGCGTAACGGACTTAAGAAGTCGAGGGCCCTACAGCAGTTGCGCAGCTGTGTACTTTCTCTCAAGGAGGCCAGTTTACCGGCATGGGAAGCATGTCCGATTTAAACAACGTAATGTAAGTAAAATATAAAATTGTAGGGGACCAAGAATTTCGCTCGCGTGATCTACCCCCCAGGTCCCCACCTTTAGCTGCGTAACAAGGCTGCAGTCACTCTACTTTTCTCATACTGGTTGCTAAAAGGTATTATGCAATTAATCATAATACTTTTACTCTAACACATTACTATTATTGAATGATTTTTTTTGACATACTCTTTCCATTATTTTACTGAAGCTCATTATTTTTCATTACAAACTTGCTGAAAATTTTTTCCCGTTGATCAAGAAGCTCCGAATGTAATTCCTTGTTTGGTTCCATCCTTGCATGGTGGTACCTTGTTACATTTGGCTTTCCTAGTTATACAAACGTTATGACCGACGCCCTTGTTGTGATAGAGCTGATATAGATATTTCTTAAAGTTGTGTATGATAGACAGTTATTTATATTATGGGAAATAAACTACGGTTAGGAAAGAAATAAACTACGGTTAGAAATAACCTACGGTTAGAATGTTTAGTTTATGATTGTTGTCGTAGTCATACACATTTTGTTTTTGCTATACCAACAATTAGAATAGGATAATTGTCAAACCATGTGACAATTTGAAACTTTTTTCACTTTTACGGTTCTGTTGACATTTCTCTTGAAGTCATATTACAGGGTGTCTCAAAGTAGAAGCGATCTTGCTATTTATTACATTTTTACTGACCCACGCATCTTTCGTATATTCAACTATCTTAGAACGCTTTGAATTTCAAGCTATTATTTTTGTATCGTGCCTATTTCTTGAATACCCTGTCTTGGACTTCATTTGACTTGATGAGTTGCTTTTTTAAGGTTTTGTTAAGAAGTAGTGTATTGTAGAAACACTTCTTGCGAACTATTGTTTGGAAACTTATAGCTAACGCATTCAAGAAAGTTTATAAGACAAAAAACATGACGTATGATTTGTTATAAATTTAAGTTTTTTCATGTTCTTAAAAATTTGTCAGAGTTGTAAATAATATATATATTTTAAGAACTTTTATTATGTTGTATTTAATCGAAAGACATCGAAGCAAAGTGTCGTAAAACCTACTTTGTTGTTATTTATTGCATTAACAGATGAAATTCATATGTCTTTGTATTAGTTTACTTTGGTTAGTGATTCGTACAAAAATTAAAGAAAGTGCGTGTCACTTTGAAAGCGTATAGACAATAGCATGGAAAGGGGAGAGGGGCGTTTTTCTCCATTGCTTTCTTCTAACTACGCTCCTAACTACCTTTAAAAGACAAATATATTTCTCTTTAAAGGAACAATTGCTTCGTCAAAAGTTTTGATCTTTTTTCCTTCATCTTTTTACCTGCTTTCATGAATTAAAGAAAAACATGCGTATTCAAGAATCGTAAATCCACATGTTTTCTGCAAATCATACTATCATATTTCGCTTCCGGCACATATGCTTATCACTTTTAGTTCGCCGATTACAATTCCCCACCACTTGCGGTAAAAACTTTCAATATCTTTGCCAATTAAGTTTTGAGTGTTCCCAAATGAATGTAAGCACTTATTTAAAGTAACAGTAGGCAGTATTGGGGCCTGGCTATTTACTCCTAAATCAAAATACTTTTGCACAGAAAAAGTAGTGAATGAAATTTATAAAAAAATATTATAAATGCGCAAGAAAATATACATAGTCTTGAGTAAAAATTTTGGGCTGCCATTAATGATGTAACAGAAAAAAGCTGTAAACATTTGCCGCAAGTAATTATTGCCGAGAAAATGTAATTGATAGCATTGACAGAATTATTATAAATTAGCAACGCGTGCGCTGATTGTTCTAGAGCTGGGGTTTCATTAGCCTGTGCAAACCAATCGAGGCAAGATAGAATTAAATCAATCATGAATACATGTTCAAGAAAATATTAAAACGTTTGTCTTAAATTTATCGGTTTCGGATTATTGTTATTTTATAAGAGAAATAAAAGATGTTTTTCGTGTTTGCACTGGAGACGTTTATGAGAACTCATTAGCATATACCCTTACTATATACCTACGTCGGGTCGGACCATTGAATTTTTTAGTTTTTTTAAAAAAAATGCACACAAAAAAAGGTTTATTGAAAAATGGTGAGCAGGTCAAACACCGCACTGCATAAAACATTCACACGACATTCCTTTCACGAGAATTGATTCATTGTAGTGTGGCTACAATTTCTAACATTGTTATAACATTCACTCATGTTTTGCATGAAATTTTGTTTGATGACCTAATGACGTCCATCCCCGGAAAAAGACAAGATCTCAGCACCCTCCTCTTTCAGGCAATTTGAATCTTGTCGGATTTTTTTAGACTGCACAGATATTGAGGTTGTTATGAATTAGTAAATTAATATTGACTTTATGTAAATGCTATATTTCAGTGGTGTACGACCCTTTGGTGTATCGTTGTTGTTAGCTGGCTGGGATGAAGACAGACCTTATCTGTTTCACTGTGATCCTTCGGTTGGTTTAATTGTTTCATATTATTCAGTAGCAGTTTCAGGGAATTTCTGCTGTTCATTCGAACGTAAATAAAGAGTTAATCAACTTTCATCATGCATCTAGCTGTGTATTAACTTTTCTCTGACAAGAACACATATTGTTCCATGTGTAAATCAAGCTTCGTGATTCTTAAAACTTGCCATGTGCTAAGTTGACTCAAACTCAAAATAAAATGACATAATAACATCGCTAGGTCATAATTTGCACTAGAAAGATTTAATACTTTCAACCACACCATGCGTTTTTGAAGTTGTTTACTTGTTTTGTCGTAAACTTACGTATCTTAGAAAATATTTTTGATCAACAAAAAGTGTAGAATAGTAACTCAGTGATTTAATACTACAATGAACATACGTACATGTATCATGAGGCAGAGGAATTTTAAATTCATTTTAAAGAACTTTTAGTAAAGGTTATCATACTTGTTAAGTTTTTGTTTTCTAGGGAGCGTACTTTGCTTGGAAAGCCACTGCAATGGGAAAAAATCACTTGAACGGACGAACATTCTTAGAAAAAAGGTAACGGCATAATCCTTGTTGGTTTGTTATACGTACTCCATGCCGAAAAGATGTATAATTATTTCCTATTATTTTAGGTATAATGATGATCTGCAGTTAGAAGATGCAATACACACAGCTATACTGACACTTAAGGTTAGATACAGAGTGTTATAAATTCTAAAAATATGAAGTTCTACGCATTTAAATGAGTATAACTTGAACGCAATTGAAGCTGAGATTTTACAAGTATGCCCAGTCCTTTTACAATTTTTTTTTTAAAAAAACAGCAGTTTTTTATTCAGTTTTTTTTTATAGGTATTTGATAATCTCTGTTATGAATCTTATGATAAACTTCGAAAGTCGGAAAAATTATTTCGGATGCGCCTTTTGGTGGATGTCTTTTTGCGTATTCCCGAAAAGAAAAGAAAGATGATTTCGACAATGGTTTCCTTATTTACAATGCGAATGTCATCCAACATGGCGGAAATCTATTGTTTTTTCACACCAATGGGTGCAAAACAAGTTGTAACCATCACCATGGCAATCTGATAGACCGAAGTCGGTGACATGCAGTTTTTGAAGTGACGAAAAAATATTATTTTGTCACATCTATAGTCCTGCGTTGAAGCATGACAAAAAAATACAACTTTCGGCAAGACTAAAATTGCATCGTGATTCCTTTTCATGAACTATAAATTATAAGCTTCAACACTTTAAAGTATAATTTCACTTGTTATTGTTAACATCTACCAGTAACATAAACCTGATGTCATCTGCTAAGTGTAAAGCTCTTCATCCACTTTTGTGTCATTATTTGCAACTTCAATATCATCGCATCCTTTAAATGTTTTTTGACTCTCACATTGCTTTATGTCTACTTTACAATACTATATAGCTTGGTCACAAGAAGGCGTCGCTAAATCCGATTATATTGGAAGAAATTCTCGAAGATGTAAAATCTAAGGTATTTTTATCGAGTCATTTTTATATATTATTACGTATCAAATTTCATTTTCTACAGGTGGCTGGGAGAGGAGGTTTCTTCGGTTGTTTTGGTAGAGTAAGATTTGCGATGTCAGTGAACAACAAGACATCTGTCAAAAGTGGATTGGATTTGGCAAAAATGTAATTCGGCAAAAATGTTCAACTGTCCCTAATACATCGAACGCTACCTGTAATAGAAAAGCCTGATAATTTTTTGAAGCCAATTCTTACACCCAGACACGCGTTTATAGTTCAATCAATTTTCACCACGTGAAGGAATCTCGAAACACTACACACGCGTGTCTGGGTGTAATCTCGCGTGTCTGAATGCAAGATTTGGCTTCAAAAAATTATTAGGCTTTTCTATTACAGGTAGCGTTCTATGTATGTTTGTTCAATGCCCTAACATTATGATAACGTACTTTAGGTACGTGATGTGGTAAATCGTGAAATGGTCGGACCCCAGGAACATTTAAAGAAGTATGAAAAATACTCCGACTTAATCACGAGAAAAGCTGACGCAGAAGTGGAGCAACTTCTTTTGGAGGGGCATCAGTTTGAAAGACTCGTTGATGTTTGCAGTTTGCTTAATACTTACACTTTTCTTAAGACTACTTTTTAATGGAAGGTTAGTTATATTTACCGAAGTTTGTAGACCCACAATTACCGAAGGAGAGTTTTGAGTTCATTGTACGCTGTCATAATTTTGATGTTTACTCAGATACATTTCTAATTTAATTGAAATTTCTCTTAAGAGGGAGGCGCAACTAGAATTAAAGATGATAACGTTCAGGAGCCCCGCAAAAAACAAAACCTCAACGTACACGAATTTATAGACGAAAGGTTAAATGTAAGATTGTGGTGCAGAAATGAATGCTGATAATTTTTGAAACACAGTTCAAATAAACACAATGGTATGGCAAAATCCCAAGATGTTGTAGAAGCATCACAAACAACGCTTCATTTTTCTAAGGTTAGTAAAATGTCACTTACTTATATATGTACATGGTAAATAAAATGAATGTCTTTAGCATGCGTTATAGATCTCTTAGAAAATTGCTGGTTAGTTCTGTATAAGTGCCGTTCAATTTATGTGAAATAATTGATAATTCGTGTTGCACAAAACTTTGTTATTCTGCTCTGTTGCAGCAGCAACTATCTCTGTTATTGTGAAGGACACTCATACCATAAAGTTTCAATGTATTCTTATTTATTTTAGATCCTTCCAACTGCCCCTGTTACATGTGATAGCATTGATGAAATGCATGAAGAAGTCAAAAGTGTAAAACAAAAATTCTGCAATGATACAGATTTATCACAAAAGGTTACATTCAAAAACTCTCATGATTTGTAAAACTGTAATAGCACATTTGCACATACATACCCTAACCCTAACCGTACATCCTGTGTCCTAAGTGCAGGAGTCACCATTGCACTATGGTGATAGCAGGGAGGGCACATTGTTATACACTTTGTATATTACGCTTGCTGCGCTTGCGCAGTTTGAGCGCTCTCGGATTGCGTAGCGAGTCTCATAAAGAGACGTTCACCGCATTCGCTTTATGCATTGCTCACCTATATAGGTTTGAGCGCTCTGGTGACTCGACAATACAATCCATACAATGTGTAACCGTACGTCCTGTGTCCCAAGTGCAGGAGTCACCATTTTACTATGGTGATAGCCGGGAGGGCACATTGTTATACACTTTGTACACTTGTTTATATATGATTTATGAAAACACGTGGATACAGAAAGAAAACAAACAAAACTGCAGCATCAAGAGGGACTTCATCAAACAACTTCCACCTCTGAACAAAACCGAAAAACCTGCCATGTTTGTTTTGAAAAAAGACTACTAATCCTAAAAGGACATAAAAAGAAAATTTTAAATAAACGCTCTGAACTTTTTAGTGCATGCCGTCGTTAATTTAACACCTAGTAACGAATTGTATATGCAGTGAATAATAAATAATCTGTCAGTTGCCTGAAGATCGCCCTACTGCGTGAAACTCCGAAAAAATTACAGCTATTGTCTATTTTATATATATATATGTATATATGATTTAATAAATTACATTTCTTAAAATGTTGCTACTCGGGGAGTCTGGGTTTCATGCCAAAGCAATCTTCAGGCAATGTATCGTTTTCTAACGTTAAATACTGTTTAAAAATGCTACCTTGCTGGAAAACCTTGAAGTGGCATTAAAAATACACAATGTATGCCAGGATATATTTGAAATAGATAACAAATGAAGTTGATTCAGAGGAAGAGGAAATTATGGATGTGGTTTGTAATATCTGAGTATGACATTGAAATAATTAAATTAATTTTTTAAAATGTTATTTCTAAAATAATTATATTTTGGTCTTTTTTAGGTTGATGAAGAAGAATCTGTTAACGAACAAGAAGAGAGAGAGAAATCTCACCTGTCATGAGAAACTTGCGTAGCTGAATTAAACATATTGGCTGAAAATGTTAACCACTGCAAAAAAACTGTCACTGAAACGTTGTCCTCAGAAATAGTGTTTACTCAAAAATTGTAATGCATGTCCTTGTTTTGTGGGCAACGCCCTTTGCAGGCAATTTTCTCCACCCCCATTACCTCAAGTCTAGTTACGCCCCTGATCACTGGGTTTGTGCTTTTGCATTTAAAAAATTATCTTTTGTGGCGTTTCAGGCAATTGCCATTTGTCGGGCATAGATGTTTCTGTCTGCAGTTACATTTCTTTGGTGGGTTGTTCTTGTTCTGGGTTGTGTCTGGGTTAAGTCTTTTTAAAATAGTCTTGTTGTGTCTGGTTATGAAAGTTTTCATGTTTTCGCCGCAGCTGTAGCTTACGCGTATTGTGTGTCGGTTGAATATCTTGGAGAGTATAGTATTTGGTGGGAAATGTTTGTCGATAAGTTGTAGGAAGTCATGGGCGATGTGAGTTTTTACGTTTTTGCTGTATGGTGGGTTAAACCAAGTGACGTTACGTTTTCTGTTGTACGTGGTGTTTACATTGATGTTTGATGGATTAAAGGTGAGTTGGGTGGTGAAGTTGCTTTGTTTAAGAGCTTGGTTGTAAATTGGTGCGGCATTTTCGAAGGTGTCTTTGTCAGATGAGAGTGTGTTAATTCGGTTGTTGATGGATGTGGGTAATTGGCGTAATACTGATGGTGGGTGGTTGGAAGATCTGTGAATGAAGAGGGGCTCGTCGTTGGGTTTTCTATAAGGTTTGTAGGTGTCGTTGCTAAGGTCAAATGTTACGTCAAGGAAGTTTGTGCGTTCATGGTTTGTCATCGCTGTGATTTTTAGTCCAAGCTCGTCAAATAGGTGTGAGAGGGTTTTCTTTCTTTGTCGCAGAGTCTTCCAGATTTCGTATTTATGACTGCAAGGCCATCGTCACGGTATAAGCCGACGTTGCTTCCGTACCGCTGCTGTAGTTGGTAGAGTAAGAATAGCCCTACAAGCTCGCAAACTTCCGCTCCATCATAGCTGCCCATGGTTACATCAAACGTGTTGGTAGCGTTGCGTTTGGACCATGATTTGTTTTGGTGGAAAAGAAGTAGATCGTCCAGGTTACTAGAGGTCTGAATGCTTTGATCGCTTTTCACTGTAATAAAGTAAATGGTTTGAACCCGGGAGTATCGTTACATGTTTGTAAATGTAGATCGTCCAGGTTACTAGAGGTCTGAATGCTTTGATCGCTTTTCACTGTAATAAAGTAAATGGTTTGAACCCGGGAGTATCGTTACATGTTTGTAAATGTAGATTGTCCAGGTTGGTATAGTCCTGAGAAGGACTGTTTTTGTTGTTGTTGACTGACGTTTCGACAACCTTAGCGGTAGTTATTTCTTACACTGTGAAGATGACTACCGCTAAGGCTGTCAAACGTCAGTCAACATCAACAACAACAGTCCTTCACAGGACTCTACTAACCTGGACGATCTATCCACAAACATTTAACGATACCCCGTTCTAACCATTTAATTTATTAGCTTGTGAGCTGTAGATCGATGTTACATCTGAATAAAGATGAAAGTTCAACTGCAATATTACAAGTATATTACATACTACGACAGCAACTTCTCATTACTTTAGTCGTCCAAGTCAAATAGTGGTGAAAAGGTTTTCAAATCACTGTCAATGAAAAATGACGAGGTTGCAAAAGTGGCAAGAGCCCAAGATTGTGTTACCTAATGACCTAGAACCCAATCCACTAGATATCTGACTCCGCCGAAATTGTATAGTAATGAGTGAAAGTGAGGCAAGCCGCCATCTTGAGAGGTGGCAAAACTGACGATATTTACGACTAAAATCTGCTTTTCCTGTGTTGATATACAGTTGCAACGTTAATAGTCTAGGTTTCATTCTTAAAATGTTTGATAGGATGAGTTTTTTAAACTTTCTTTTAACTTATTTTTCATTTTGAGTTTTGCTTTTTGCCGCCTTTCAAGATGGCGTCCTTGCCTCACCCAAGGAACTAAAATACATGGAACGCTACCTGAAGCAAATAATTTAAGCCAAATCTTACACCCAGACACGCGTGTGTAGTATTTCGAGATTCTGAAAATTAATAGACTACACACGCGTGTCTGGGTGTAAAATTTGGCTTCAAAAAATTATGACACTTTTCTATTACAGGTAGCGTTTCATGTATTTTAGTTCAATGGCCTCACCTCACCTTGACACACGTTATTTAGACATCCAGAAGATTGGGTTCTAAATCATTGACATTACCTAAGAACTCCTTTCCATCCTTTGGTAAATGAAGACACTTCAACTTTCTCGTATGATTGAAGTACACCGACAAAGCGTTGGATAAATCCTGCAACAATTCTCTATCGTCGTCTTTAACATTCTTGATGTTTCCACAAACCGTCTTAATGGGCCACGGAGGTTTCGTGGAAGTCGGGTGAGGATAGTTCTCCATGGCGAGGAAAAGATAGGATAGCGCCAACTTGTCGCGAAGTTGATAGATTTCTTTTGATTCATTCAACGTTTCGCATAGGGAAAACGTTTTCGAAATAAATTTCAAGCCTTCTTCATTTCGACTGAGTCTGTCAAGAATATCCCAAGAACGACGTATAACTTCCACACATTCGTGGCCTCCCTCTTTTTCAAAGGCCTTAGTCACCAAAAAGTACTGTGTCCCACAGTCTGCAGAGTACTGGAAGATTGGGGCCGAGGATGCAACTGCACCTGCAACTACACTTGGATATTTCATCCTCATCCAGGCAGCATACTGACCTCCTAATGATGCGCCGAAAGCAATAACTGGACTATAGCGAGCACCGCTCACATTTGACTTGATATTGTCTATGAGCTTGGAGTAGTCGGCAAGAACCTGCGATGAGGTCAAATATCCGGTGTATTGAGAACCCGAGGGAGTTTACTCCGTATGGCATACTACTCCCTTGATAGCGTTGCTCGGCGAATACTAGCATTGCGTTAAACTCGGGCGCAGTCTCCCACAGGAAACCCATTGTTTTTGCGAAGTGTTCAATATTTGCCTCGTTTCCACAGTAAAAGAATATGACGTTCCCCGGCTTCCAGTGAGACGTACTGATAAGATAGCGTTGTTTGAATGTGGCATTGCTTAAGAATGTGAAATGATCCACGTTTTGGTCGAACCATTTCGTTTCGTAGACGCACGAAGGACAGTTGAATATTCCACGTTTTAGTGTGTCACTCGATGTCATATCTGAATGAAAATAAGCGGGAAAAACAGGCCAGTGAAACGCTCTCACCATATGAAGGATCGACTGCAACAGTACATATATGTTTCCAAAAGAGTACCTTCTCATGTTAGACAGTTTAGTTCAAGTTAGTGATAACTGTTTTTAAGGGAAGTTTTTCTGTTCGAGAAAACATGACCTCAAACAACGGGTACCAGTCGGCCTGTCCTTAAAGTGCATATAAACCTTACGTGGTTTTTACACTATCCAATGAATGTGGTTTAAAAAGCCATGTTCCAAAATTTTAATGTAATATTTACCAATCGTACTGTCCGTCAAAGTTGCAAAAATAGACCATTTTAAGCGCTCAGCTTTACCGCTAAAGGACTGGGCCTGTGCGGTTGGGTGACGTCATGTAAGTAACACGGGTCTGAACATTATAGTAATTTAACAGGCTATTTTCTTTACTATTGTCACATCATGCCAAATGCCGATGTATTCGTAAGGCGATATACCAAGTTGCAAGGACAGACACCGGTAAAACACTGTCCTCCATCTCTATATCATAATTCGCATTTTCTGATGAATCTGAAGATGATGTTTCCGACCAAGATGAGGACATTTTGAAAAAACGACGCAATAATCGAAATATCGGCAACAACATTGATTATTTTAAAAGCAAATAATTTGTTTTGAATAAAGCCCACGCGACTGTATTCCTTACATGACGTCACAACATGTACTGGATACCAGACCCCATTGGGAAATAAATGTAGGGAAATCTGGACTTTTAAACCGTAATTGCGAAGAAAGCTTTGATCTCAATTCATTTGTTTTTTTTTAAATTTACAGTTTTAAAGAACTGTAAACTCTTTCAAACTATACTAAAATCCTGCAAGGTTAATGCGCACTTTAAAATTTTACTCAACTCAGACGAATGGAAGCTTCCAGCATTGTCAGTGTCAGGTAGTGAAATACTTTATCCAGGCCTGGCACATTAGCTAAAAGCCCCATTGAAAGAAAATCTATTTAAGTATATAAAAAACGAGACGCCTTCTTATCGCATTAGTGTAGAAGTCTAATAAAGTCACACTGGCAGTCGAAAAAAACCCCGCTCAATTGTCATTGCTATATGCGTTGAAATGGTGGCGCATTCGTCAGTTGAAATTCAATATTGCTTTGAAGGTGTTTAAAATGTCGCACTAAAAGCTGAAATATATTTTACGTATACGACAAACTCTCATGTGAGATGGTATTTTTGAATGCTGGTGTACAACTCCACGATCACACCGAATAAATGATTTGCAAGAGCTTTGTTTTATATTTGAATGAACTTCAACTCAAAGATGAAGATACTGTTCCTAAATATAAGTTCATCGAGTTTTTTCAACTCTACTTCAATCTCTTATACAATACACATAACGGAGGAAAATATTTTCAGCTATAAACAAAATCACGCTAACTTTTATCGTTTGTATTTACTTAACTTCTAGCATTACTTCATTTGGCGTCGGATCATCACATCCAAACACTTCATTGGCATTATTCGTATCTTCAGAATCTGAAAAAAGCGTTCAGCACAGCATGTGCGCCATTTCTAAGCCCTTCGTGATAATTGTTCAGCTGAAAAACAAAACAAAAACCTTCCACAAAATCAATGTTCAATAAGTCATTTAAGATACAATCAATGTTTACTGTTTGCTTACTGTTTGTTTACTGTTTGCATGTTTACTGTTTGTCTACTGTTTGTCTACTGTTTACTGTTTGTTTACTGTTTACATGTTTACTGTTTTTCAGGCTTACGCAAACATAGGTGACTTTTGGGAAAACTCGAGAGCAGATCGGTACAGTTCTCAAAAACGTCCACGACATTTACATAAGCCAGTGTAAACACGAAAAACATCTTTGATTTCTTTTATAAAATTATAATGATGCGAAAAAGATAAATTTAAAACAATCTAATTTTTCCTCTAACATGTATTCAAATAATTGATTTGAAAATTCTCTTTGACTGATTGATTGTTTTGATTGATTTGATTGGTTGAGCTCAGATCTGTTTTGCCCAGGCTAATGCGAGCACGGCTATAGACCAATTTTATAAATTTATTTCATGATATTATAATATATTTACCGAGGTTATCATCTGCTCGTAGACCTCTTTCACTAAATTCTTTTTCATGCCGTAGTCTTCCTCCATTGCTTTTATCTTTAAACACAAAACAAGTTGTACGTTGAAAAAACAGCGGTGAATTTAAATAGTAAGTAAGCAATCCTATTGACTTAGAGGAAATTGAACCCACAGTTGAATGTGATATATAGAAAATGAGCGAGTTGTAACTTTCCCACCTTCGCTAACACTTCTTGTAATTCTTCATCTGTCGAAGATTGTTCTTGAAGCTGTTTTCCTTTTTTCTGCAACATCTCAACATCCCTACGACGATCAAAACATGTCCAAAACATGTCCAAAACACATGTCCATCCGATACATGTCAAAAACACGTCCAATACATGTCAAAAACATGTCAAAAACATGTCCAATACATGTCCAATACATGTCAATAAACATGTCCAATACATGTCAAAAACATGTCAAAAACATGTCCAATACATGTCCAATACATGTCAATAAACATGTCCAATACATGTCAAAAACATGTCAAAAACACGTGGAACGAACGAAACTAAAAATTCCGTTCGTAAATTATTTACAAAAATTCTTATTCTCGTGACAAAAAGTTTTTCCATGCCATGTTTTGTTGTTGAGATAGACACAAGACAAAAAGAAAGTGCCTTCCCGACAAAATTGTTATAAATTCTTAATAAAATGAATTCCAGATAAATCAGCAGAGCACTAATCAGACTTTAAGTAATTTACCAACGGCCATGTGACCAATAAGATCACTCGTGCTTTGCGAAAGGGGACTTTCTTTCTTGTATGACAATCAAATAATTTATCTTTTGTTTTAAAAGTGTCGGTGAGATATAAATTTCACCAGAAAAGGAACTCAATTAAATACCGTAAAAACGCACGAAAAAGAAAATCTTTTGAAGAAACTACATAAAACGTTTTAAATGTTCTTTTGATATTGAAAACATTACGTGTGCAAACAGTAAAAATTGACGTCGAAAGGCAACAAATACGACCACGAATTCGTACTTTTTGTTCACTTCAAGCTCGTCCCTTTTCGCAGCCAGTTTCTTTTCATAAACTCGCTCCATGCGATCTTTTTTTTCTATCATCATCGTCAACTGACGTTTGGCGTTCTGAAAATGGAAGAAGGCGGAGAAAACGATTTTAGATTACTTCATATACACGAGACAAACATCTACAATTAAATTTACGATGTATTGACCTTTTGTTCAAAATTAATATGTTCAAGTTGTTCATTGTTGATGGCTGCCTCATCCAGTATTTCTTGGTATTTTTTCTGTCGATTTCTAAATTGACAGTTTGTATATTAAATAAACTGATCATAACACATTGAAGCACTGAGCCTATGTATATTTACTGCACCCTAGCTACAACTACTGTGCCCTAGCTAAATCTCCCGGGCCCAAGCTATATTTACTAGGCCCTCGCTAAGTCTGTTGGGCCATGTGCTGGGCCATATCTATGTCTACCGGACTCTAGCTACATCTACTGGATCCTATCTATATCTACTGGATCCTATCTTTAACAACTGGATCCTATCTATATCTACTAGATTCTAGCTATATCTACTGGATCCTAACTATATCTACTGGATCCTATTTATATCTACTGGATCCTATTTATATCTACTGGACCCTATCACATCTATTGGATCCTATCCACATCTCCTGGATCCTATCTATATCTACTGGATCCTATCTACATCTACCAGAACATATCTATTGTACTGGATCCTATCTATATCTACTGGATCCTATCTACATCTACTGGATCCTATCTTATATCTACTGGACCCTATCCACATCTAATGGATTCTAACTATATCTACCAGGTCATATTTATATCTACTGGAGATTATCTATATCTAACTAGACGCTAGCCTGTATGAATATTGCAAAAATAAGTTTTGAAGACACGAAACTTACTGCAATTTTGCGAATTCATCTTGCACTGATGAGATAACCCGATCAGCTGTGCAAGAATTCTAAAAAAAATCGCCGAGAAACTTCACACAATGATGTAGGACGAGAAAGAAAGGTGTTAAGAAAGCAGCCAACTATACATTTGACGTCAAATCATCCCGTTTGGAAATATTTCAAGAGAGATGACAAGAAACAAGTTTGCAGTGTGCAGTCTGTGCCAGAAAACAATGGGAAAACACAGACAAAACAAGCCTTAGGTTTATGGCATCTAGTCATCATATTCATAATTGAGCTTGTACAAACAAATTTTTTTCTTTTGAAAAAAAAAATAAGGAAAAGCGAGCCTAGGTTTTCTTCCGGAACAACCGAAAACAACGGTTTCTAGACAAAAGCAATAACGGAGAACTAGGCGAATCAAAGTGATGGCTCTTTTAAAGGAATTATTCTGGTGATTTCATATCCAGTGGCCAAGCGAGTTGGATAATTGAGGGGTTATTTCATTTATTCATCTTCTGTTGCATTAAGATCCTTTGAAATCCATTGCTTTCTGCAAACTATAACACGCATATGAATTTTGTCTCCCCCCTGCATTATTAAAGTAAATGGTTTGAACCCGGGAGTATCGTTTCATGTTTGTAAATGTAGATCGTCCAGGTTAGTATAGTCCTGAGAAGAACTGTTTTTGTTGTTGTTGACTGACGTTTCGACAACCTTAGCGGTAGTCATCTTCAGAGTCAAAAAATGACTCTATACACATACTACTCTGGACGATCGACATTTACAACCATGCATTGTTGATGCTAAATGCAGCTGTTAATAACACGCAAAAAATGGCAGTTATGGATGGTGCGACAATACGAAGCGGACTGAATACACAAAATGAAGAAGGTTATCAAAATCCTACATCTTCAACAACGTTGAGAGATTCTTCAAATTTTTTCTCGTGAAGTATTCGACTTTTCTCTTCGATGACCAATTTGCAAGTCTCGATGGCGGTGCTCATCCGATCGAGTTCCTGAAACGGAACAGAACCGAAGGACGTTTTTTAAAAAAGGATGAAATCATCATGAAAAAACCAAAATTTTCTTACTCCAAGAAACTTTTCGGGAGATGTTACGATTTTCGCCTTTAACTTCTCCGATTCTTCAACGTTGTTTGCGATCAGCACCTTCAACTCGGCCTGAGAACACGATAGTGAATGATTATAAAAGGCGGAAGACTGGGAACGAGGTTCAAACATTCCCAAACCTGACTCGATGTCTGCTCGGCAATTTCCGTTTTCAATTGCTGTGTGTATTTCACGTCTGATGCCTAAACAAGATGAAACAGAACAAATGAAAACGATTAACCCCAGAAGCAGGGTATAGTGAATATACATTAGAGCCACTCCATTAAAATTTTTTGTGCCAGGCATATCTCTTTACGCACGTAATTACCATAGTGGCAACCGTTCAATTTTTGACCAATGGGAACGATGAAATGGCTAACGACAGCCAGTAATCTAATTAAATATACAGCAGTCAGTTGCACGGCGAAGTGGACCTACTGTATATCCCTATACTTAGCGAAAAGCCAACTGTTGTGGGATTACGTAGTGCGCATGCGCACCTGTTTTATGTTCAAGTCATTCACTTCTTTCTTGAGATCTTCTACAATCGGCTGAACCTGTACATATCAAGCAAAACATGAAACTATGTCGCATGAAATTTTTGAAGTTCAATTTAATGATGCAGTCTTAAAACCGGTATCTAAATCATTCATGACGAGGGTCTCTTTGTGCGTTTTCATTTGTTTGAAATTCGAAAAGTTGGTGATTACTAATTTATTAATAATGAATGGTTGTCTGAAAGAACTAATATAAAAGATCGATAGAATTCTTAATGAAAGAAGGACAATTAGAGCATATCGCTCGGTTGAATATTACGCAACTCGTTATAAATTTTTCATGCTAAATCAGGCAAGTAGAATGCTTAGTTGGAAACTTTTATAGTTATGGACCAATAAAATTCTGTTTATATTTACGTTTTTCGTTTATAGATACATTTACGTTTTTCGTTTATAGATATGTTTACGTTTTTGGTTTATAGATATGTTTACGTTTTTCGTTTATAGATATATTTACGTTTTTCGTTTATAGATATGTTTACGTTTTTCGTTTATAGATATATTTACGTTTTTCGTTTATAGATATGTTTACGTTTTCGTTTATAGATATGTTTACGTTTTCGTTTATAGATATATTTACGTTTTCGTTTATAGATATATTTACGTTTTTCGTTTATAGATATATTTACGTTTTGGTTTACAGATATATTTACGTTTTTGTTTATAGATATATTTACGTTTTCAATTATAGATATATTTACGTTTTTAAAATTTACTGTTAATAAATACGATTTGCGTGTGTTTATAAATGATTGTATTTACATCAAAAACTTTATATTGACTTTGTTTCTTTTAAAATTTGTTTGGTGCGAACCTGCTGTATCTTTTCTTCGTCAACGCTGCGAGCCGCTCTATGGAATGACAATGAATAGAACAAAAAGATACATTGGGTTTTATTGGTAAGTTTAGCATATCTGGAAGCAATTATGTCATAAATTGGACGATGCTCTACTTGATTTTTGCAATTTTTCCCTTAAGTTCCTTGTTTCTTTCCTGAAGAAGCCTTTTTTGTTCCGCTACCGATTCCTGTAGCGAAAAAGACATGAAATATATCTCACAAAAAACGAGAAAAAAATGTTTTTTGTGGGTTAAATCCATTAAGACCGCCCAGCTTAAATTGCAGCCTTCTAAAAAGATTGTTGAAGCAATTAAATCAAGTGAATCCTGACTTTGTGCAACAAGCCCTAGGATAATATACAGCAAAGACCAGCCACAGGACCATAAGCAACCAAGAGATAAGACAGTAACGAGTCCAAGATAAACCCGATTTTCAAATCAAGCCATTCAATTTTGTTGTACTGTTATTGTACCTTCTTTTCGGTCACTCGATCGAAATGTTGATTCTGAGTTCCTTTGAACTTCTCGTAGTTTACTACAGCACTAAATAAAAAAGCATCTAAGAGTACATAGGCACATTCAGCAAATTGAGCACATACAGCCTGAGTTTGACATTTAGGAAACAAGAGATGTTTACAGTGTTTGCACAGGCTTATGCACACAAAGTCAGGAGCAGATGAGCGCAAGCCCTAAAGCCTGTTTTCCACTAGCCACGTATCGTAACGCATCGTAGCAAAACGTTACATGGCGCATGCGCGCTTGTGCCTATTGACCATCAAATTCACAAGCACGCATGCGACATGTTATGTTTTGGTACGATACGTGGCTAGTGGAAAACAGGCTTTAGACAAAGCTGTTTTCCACTAGCCACGAATCGTAACGTATCGTAACAAAACGTAACATGGCGCATGCGCGCTTGTGCCTATTGACCATCGAATTCATAAGCACGCACGCCATGTTACGTTTTGCTACGAGACGTGGCTAGTTGAGAACAGGCTTAACAATCTCACAACTGCCTACATGGTTCATATAAATCATTGCAAACATGAATGATTCCATGCATTTTATTGATTTACTTTTACAAATAGGAATGATGTTATAATGTCATACCTTATGATGTTCAAAGTACGTTTTGGTTCTGTATAAACAGAGAAATTTGATGAGGTAATGCTTGCTGATAACAAGACAGTCAAGCATTTTACATATTTCAATAGTTGTTCATGATCTCACTTACTTGGATCTGTAAGATCATTTTTCGAAAAATCTTTCACCAAACATGAATGGAGGAATCTTTGTCTGAAATTAAACAAAAAGTTTTCTTTAGAGCTAATGTTGAAAGTCGGGATAACTTTTGAAATCATTAACTGACTTGAACTTGCTATCTGAAATAGCACATTCATTTTGCATGACATTTCGGTTATATTGCTATACTTACACAATCAATGTGTAGTATATAAACGATGCTCCTTCCTCTAAAATATCTGGATAAGGAAGCATACTGACCAGCTTGAAAGGTGGCTAAAGTTAATATAGATGACTGATGAATGACATATACACCTGGGCAAATATTGGCAGTTGTTGCTCATAGGTAAAATTCACATTGAAGGCAGCAGGAGCCGACTATCCAGTAGGCTGAGTGGACTTAAGCCTAAAGGTCCGGGCTTACAAAAGGCCTGGTGTATCTGGACACAATTAGGATTTGAACATTTTTGCTTTTAGGGCTAGGCGGCTAGCTAAATGCGGCTTAATTTGCGCTTAATTTTGAAATGTTAAATGCTCAGAACTCGTGAAGTATTAACTTTTGCTCTTTCCTTGACCATGTCAATCTTTTTTTAAATTTTTTTTAAACCTTTTCTCATTTTTTACCTTATGGGTTTACACTAATAGGAAATGCCAAGCAAAGGAAAACTGAACTTAGTGGGAGGAATAGATGTTACACTGTTACTTAAAAGCCCTTACCTTCATCTTAGCCTAAAGGCCCCAAAATTAGTAGTCTGCCTGTAGAAGGCAGTCATTTGCGACGTAGAATATAATTGTCTTGTTTTAGGTTAAACCAAACGAATACAAATAACTTTTTCTAAACATATATAAACTGTGTTTGTACCTGCATCATTTGTTCCCTTGATATGCCAAGAGATGTTGTAGCAAGGTCTAGCATAAGTTTCTTAACAAACTGTGACTACAAAAACAACGGTTATGCTTTAGGTGGCAAAGGCAGAACAAATTTAAAAACCTTCGGTCTTCCTTGCTTACAAAATTATAAAAATAATCCTAAAAAGTTAGCCTTAAGTAGCTGATCAAAATTTTAATACCTTTGACCGACAAGGAACTTACTGTGGGTCTTCTGAGCTCCTCTTCGCACACATTTAGGTCAAACATTTGACGTAAACTGGAAATTGCCTCTTCGTATGAAAGAATAGGATACGACATTTTGAATTGCGCGCTTTTTGGAAAGGGAATTCAAAGTCGCCGTCACGTGACGTATACGTCATAGTATTAAGAAAGTTTGTAGATTCAACTTAAGCCCGCCGCACACTGGAGGAACTTGCCTACGCCAAGTGTCATTCGTGATACTTGGCGTAAGCACTTTCCTCTAGTGTGCGGTGCCGTTTGGAGCGCTTTTTGTCACGCGTGTCACTTGCATCTGATATTCAACATGTTGAATAATTTTTGCCACGAGTGATACTTTACTCCAAGTGTGCGGTGAACGAAAGCTTCTAGCTTTCAGCTTCAATATAATACGCATGCGTTGTGTGCACTCTGATACAACAAAACAAACATGGCGGCGAGCCCCAGCTCTACCAGTGCAGTTGTTGCCGAAGCAATTTTGGAAGACCAAATCGCTGATTTGTGGCCTGAATACCCATGCCTATACGATGTTAGGTCACCAGAGTTTAAAAATAGAGAAATGAGAGAGCGTGCTCTGGAAGAATTGGCTGAAAAATTGGGTCAAACTGGTAAGTCAAATTCAATTGAATTTGTTGATTCAACTGTGAAATGTCTTAGTGATTATTAGCGCTTATTTTGCAGTTGCATGGTTAAAATCTAAATTGAAAGCATTACGAAATAGTTACGTGAAAGCCAAGAAACCATCAGCAAGTGGGAGTGCTAGGAAAATCCTACGAAACGGTCAACGTGGCTGTTGGAGAAATTACAGTTTTAGCTCCCACGTGGCTTTTAGGGCGTCTGTTTCCAACTTGGATACGGTATGGAATTTTACACTCAAAGACATGTATAAATCAGTTAAATTCATTTTTCATTGGGTTTAAATACTCTTGAAATATTTATATGTAACTAAAATTTATGACATATCAACAATTCGGTTTTGCCATGGCACTGCTCCATCATTGTTGAAATAAATTGTTAGCAGTTCACGTTGAACTTTTGCACCTCTAGATGTATTATGCACTAATGTACGCTGCATGTCAGTTAAGTTTGGGTCATTCCTCCAAGTTCCAGGTGATATTGTGTGATCTGCATTCTCTTGGTCAACTGCTACGGTATATGTTGCTTTGTTCTTGTTGATCATGTAATTGTGCAAGCAACAGGCAGCTAATATAATATCGGTTATTTTGTCTGGGGTCAGTTTGATAGTGGTTAAAAACACTCGCCATCTATGTGCAAATATGCCAAAAGCATTTTCAACTACCCGGCGTGCCCTTGACTATCTGTAGTTAAAAATGCGCTTTCCTTTTTCTAAGTTACGATGAGGATATGGTTTCATCAGGTTGGTTGACATGGGAAATGCATCATCGCCAACAATGTGACAATGTATTGTTGTTGCTATCCCTTGTACATTTTGTGGAGAGGGAAGATTTAAAATGTTGGATGATAATGCCCTTTTCAATGCAAAATCTCTGAATACTCCAGCATCCCCAGAACGACCTGCTGCTCCAACATCCACATAAATGAACTTGTAATTAGCATCAACAAGGGCCAAGAGAATAACACTGAAGTAATGTTTGTAATTAAAAAACTCTGATCCACTTGCAGTAGGTTGCTGGATACTAATATGTTTTCCATCTATGGCACCTATGCAGCATGGGTAGTTCCACTTGCTTTCAAAGTCACCAACAATTTTCAACCAATCTTCTTCTTTGCAAGGAGTCTAAAAATGAACAATCTTTTTGTTTAGGTGTCGTGTACAACACCTACATCAGATCTCAGCACTGTAGAGCATGATGACAGCATTGAAGATGACAATTTCTCAATTGAAAATGAATCATGGGAAAACAATGATACTGACACAATTGAAATAGTAAAGTCAACAAAAGAACCACTCAAATCCAGGCAAATTAGCACACAAAAGAGGCAAGCTGATCACGAATATTCCTTGATAAAAAATCTTTCTGATTCAATTTCTCAAAGAAACAAGAAACCCAAACCTGATGAAACTTCAAAAAAACAATATGATGCATTTGGAAAATATGTATCTCAAGCACTATCAGATTTGGACAGTGTAACACGTCATCTGGCCCAACATCAAATAAACAATATTATATTCCAGGCTCAAACTGGAATGCTAACTCAGGATTCACAACAAGCAGTGGTGGTACAACCGCAATACAACCAATTTCGGCCCATACAATCATATCACATTCCCTCGACAAACAACTATCCCACATCTCCATTCAACTAAGCAAGTCCTCCGCTACATAATTCCTTACGAGAAGAATCAACTATATTTAATCAAAATAGGTGGTCTTCAAACTGACAGATGATGATGTGGCTTGAAGTATAGTCAAACAGTTCATTGCACATTTATTAAATAAAACATGTTCAGATAAACCTTCAAATATTCTTCTTTTCATACGGCATACAATGCTTTGCAAGTGTCTTCTACAATCCCAGAGATAGTCCTTTCTCCTATTCGGTACTGGAAGGACAAGCTTCTGAAAAATTCTCCTAGGCATGTTTTAATAACAATACATTATACCCTGGCTGCTTCATAGGATGCATTATAACACTACTTTAGCATTAATGAACCCATCAACACATTGGATAGATTGCAAACGTACTAATCTCATATACACTGTAAAAGTTCCATACAAGTTTCTTAGCTAACAAAAAAAACTGTTCCAGTAACTAAATGACTATTGAAAACTTGAAAATACAAATGTTTGTATTGAATATTATCAAGAATATATTTAAACTTTTTTATATACAACTGTTGTTGTTAGGACTTTAGTGTAAATTTTTTCTTTAATTCACGGACTCCAAAAATCTTGTAGAAATGTAGAGGAGAGTACCAGGAACACGTAGATACCAAAGATAGATAATCCACGATAGATTTAAGAGCTAAAATTTTCGAACGAAGACGAGCGCGTGATAAACAAAACAACCGCCGATCGCACCAATTTATAAACTTTGATTTCTCGGCGAAAAAGGACCAATTTCAGCCAATAAACTCTTGAAATGATCGCTAGACTTTTAGCTACAAGATTATACCATAAAGTAAGGCCAATGAACAATTTTGAAGGAAGAAGATCAAAATTTCGAAGAGCACCGCCGGAAAATTCAATGGCCTTGCATTTTTGACCTTACTGTGGCAAGATATCAGGCCGTGTAATTTAAGTAGGCCATGAAAGCTTCAATGTTAATTTCTTTAGTATTGCTCGTTCATAACAATCTTTTGCTTTTTGTACTCTCCCATATCACTGTAAACCAAACCCAGATTGTTGTACGTTGTCACGATATTAACATGGTCAGGTCCAAATGCTTTCGTTTGAATTTCCATCGCTTGTATGCAAAAATGTTTGTCTTTTTCGTACTCTCCTATTTTACTGTTAACAAAACCCAGATTGTTGTAAGTTCTCGCGATACTAACATGGTCAGGTCCAAATACTTTTGTGTAAATTTCTAATGTTCGTTCGTAAAAATCATTTGCTTTTTCGTACTCTCCCATATCACTGTAAACGAAACCCAGATTGTTGTACGTTGTCGCGATATTAACATGGTCAGGTCCAAACGCTTTTTTTTTGAACTTACATCGCTTGTTTACAAAAATGTTTGGCTTTTTCGTGTTCTCCTATCTTACTGTAAACAAAACCCACATTGTTGTACGTTTTCGCGATATTAACATGGTCAGGTCCAAATGCTCTCGTTTGAATTTCTATCGCTCGTTCATAAAAATCTTTTGCTTTTTCGTACTCTCCCATATCTGTGTAAACCAAACCCAGATTGTTGTACTTTGTCACGATATTAACATGGTCAGGTCCAAATGCTCTCGTTTGAATTTTCATCGCTCGCATGCAAAAATGTTTGGCTTTTTCTAGCTCTCCTATCTTACTGTAAACAAAACCCAGATTGTTGTACGTTGTCGCGATATTAACATGGTCAGGTCCAAATGCTTTCCTTTGAATTTCCATCGCTTGAATGCAAAAATGTTTGGCTTTTTCGTACTCTCCTATTTTACTGTTGACAAAACCCAGATTGTTGTACGTTGTCGCAATATTAACATGATCAAGTCCAGATGCTTTTGTTTTAATTTCTATTGCTTGTTCGTAAATATCTTTTGCTTTTTCGTACTCTCCCATATCACTGTAAACCAAACCCAGATTGTTGTAGGTTGTCGCGTTATTAACATGGTCAGATCCAAATGCTTTCGTTTGAATTTCCATTGCTCGTATGCAAAAATGTTTTGCTTTTTCGTACTCTCCTATTTTACTGTAAACAAAACCCAGATTGTTGTAGGTTGTCGCGATATTAACATGTTCAGATCCAAATGCTTTCGTTTGAATTTCCATTGCTCGTATGCAAAAATGTTTGGCATTTTCGTACTCTCCTATTTTACTGTAAACCAAACCCAGATTGTTGTACGTTGTCGCGATATTAACATGGTCAGGTCCAAATACTTTCGTTTGAATTTCCATCGCTTGTATGCAAAAATGTTTGGCTTTTCGTACTCTCCTATTTTACTGTTAACAAAACCCAGATTGTTGTAAGTTCTCGCGATACTAACATTATCAGGTCCAAATGCTTTTGTGTAAATTTCTAATGTTCGTTCGTAAAAATCTTTTGCTTTTTCGTACTCTCCCATATCTTTGTGAACCAAACCCAGATTGTTGTACGTTGTCGCAATATAAACATGGTCAGGTCCAAATGCTTTTGTGTAAATTTCTATTGTTCGTTCGTAAAAATCTTTTGCTTTTTCGTACTCTCCCATAATGTTGTGAACTAAAGCCAGATCGTTGTACGCTGTCGCAATATTAGCATGGTCAGGTCCATATGCTTTCATTTCAATTTCCATCGCTCGTTCATAAAAATGTTTTGCTTTTTTGTACTCTCCTTTATTTCTGTAAACAGAACCTAGATTGTGGTACGTTGTCGCAATATAAACATGGTCAGGTCCAAATGCTTTGGTGTAAATTTCTATTGTTCGTTCGTAAAAATCTTTTGCTTTTTCGTACTCTCCCATATCTTTGTGAACCAAACCCAGACTGTTGTACGTTGTCGCAATATAAACATGGTCAGGTTCAAATGCTTTCATGTAAATTTCCATCGCTCGTTCATAAAAATCTTTTGCTTTTTTGTACTCTCCTATTTTACTGTAAACCAAACCCAGATTGTTGTACGTTGTCGCGATATTAACATGGTCAGGTCCAAATACTTTCGTTTGAATTTCCATCGCTTGTATGCAAAAATGTTTGGCTTTTTCGTACTCTCCTATTTTACTGTTAACAAAACCCAGATTGTTGTAAGTTCTCGCGATACTAACATTATCAGGTCCAAATGCTTTTGTGTAAATTTCTAATGTTCGTTCGTAAAAATCTTTTGCTTTTTCGTACTCTCCCATATCTTTGTGAACCAAACCCAGACTGTTGTACGTTGTCGCAATATAAACATGGTCAGGTTCAAATGCTTTCATGTAAATTTCCATCGCTCGTTCATAAAAATCTTTTGCTTTTTTGTACTCTCCTATTTTACTGTAAACCAAACCCAGATTGTTGTACGTTGTCGCGATATTAACATGGTCAGGTCCAAATACTTTCGTTTGAATTTCCATCGCTTGTATGCAAAAATGTTTGGCTTTTTGGTACTCTCCTATTTTACTGTTAACAAAACCCAGATTGTTGTAAGTTCTCGCGTTACTAACATTATCAGGTCCAAATGCTTTTGTGTAAATTTCTAATGTTCGTTCGTAAAAATCTTTTGCTTTTTCGTACTCTCCCATATCTTTGTGAACCAAACCCAGATTGTTGTACGTTGTCGCTATATTAACATGGTCAGGTCCAAATGCTTTTGTTTGAATTTTCATCGCTCGTTCATGAAAATCTTTTGCTTTTTCGTACTCTCCATTCTCCCGAAGCAACCAACCCATCTCGTTGTACGAATATGAAACATCAACATGATTAACACCTAACACTCTAGTTTGAATTGTTGTTATATCCTTAAGTACATTGATGGCCTGTTTAAAGTTGTAAAATTTTTTTAATACATTTGCAAAGTAATTAGCAATTTTCAAATTGCTTTCATCAAGTTCTTGTTTTGATGATTTTACATCGATCAACTTATTTAGGAAATGTTGAAATGATGAATTTGTTATGAATTTAATTAGATGGGGAATTATTTTGATTTGATCTTCTCTGTCTTCAAAATGATAGAGTGCCCAAGCGACTTGACACGCAAGTAGAGACATCTTAGTCGAATTATTTTCTTTTTGTTTACTGCAAGAGGTCTGCCAAAATTGATAATTTATGATGGCTTCATGTACAACGCGATGCAGGCGGATGTCGTTGTTTTCCGATTGAAGAATTAACGAACAATGCTTTAATTGAAGACATATATCTTCTGCAGACGTATGTGGATCAGTGCTTTTAATAAATTGTATGATAATATCTTGTGGTAACGGATCGAAAGATATTATCGAGAAAAGACCAAAAACTTTTCCCATTAATCTGGATTCTTGAGTACTTTTTTGTACTGCCAGCTCAACAGTTTTCAATATAGTTGATTTACCTCCAGAATATGCTGTATTGATCTTTTGAAATGTGGCATCCATGCTCTGTCGCTCTCCTTCAGTCAACTTATCGAAATATTGCTCCCACGTGAATTCCAGATTTGCAATATTTACACTACCTACGTAGTAAGCAGCACTTGCCAGGATCAATGGTTGACGATCTAATTTTTCTGACAAATTCTTTAAAAACTCTTCATCATGATTATGAATATCGGTATAAACAGATAGAAGTTGACGACATTCTTTATCATTCATACCATGACTGATTGAAATGTGTTTGTTTAAATTGTCATCTGGTGGTATAGCATCGGTATTTTGGACAGTTACTATAATTTGTCCATTTTTCCAATTATGATCACCAACTTGAGGTAATAATGGATAAATTTTATCCAGTTCAACCACGTTATCAACAACAATCCACCATATTTTCCCAGATTTCAGTTTTTGTGTCAGCAAGAAATGTTAACTTTATTGTTAACATTTCCGGGGGGGATTTTTACGGAATGAGGGGGGAAGAACAATCACAATAAGGTAGAACCTTTCGGAACTCCTGTCAGTTTCTCTTTGATTTTAAATGTCTGGAATCCGAATAGATATGCGGCCTAAACAACGTTATACAGTAGATACCAAAATCGAGTGATTACCGACATCAATTACACATATCTCGTTTGGCGAAAAACACATGAAATCGATTCACCGTGCCGTATTTAGCCAGCTCGGTTCACACTTTTTATCTTGCGCTCTATGGTCAGACGGTGAGCAAAATATAGTGTAAGCATGTATTTATTTTCGTTCGAGCTTTTATTATTACTTGAAATATCGGTGTGGATTTAACAAAACGTCAAAAATAATTTAAACGCATGGTGCGAGTTCAACCACGAAATATGAATTATGAATATGACTAGGAGTTACTATCGCAAGGGAAGTGCTGCCCCTCCACCAAGTAAGGTAAAACAGTTTGGAAACTGCTATTGCGTGTTTTCCATCATTTATCATCTGCCATAAACAATACAATAATGAATGGTAAAAATAAAAATACAGCAAGAAACCGCAACAACTCGTATACTTTGTCATTGCATAAAGACAAGCTAATTGTGTCATCTTTTATTTTCAAATTGTCATATAAATCAATTTATAGAAGTAGATGCAAGAAGTAACACTGTATGTATGTATAATTATGCTAATTTCAAAATGGAATAATTGGATGAACAGTTTTCAAAGCTCATTTTACAAAAATTTGCATATTGTCATTTAGAACTCGGCCAATAACAATTAAATCATGTTAACCGGAGCTTAAATTTGATTTTGTAAAATATGATTCTGTAAAAAGCCACATGGTTGATGTAAACATTGTGGACATTTGAACAGATTTTAACCTTGAAAAGTTTTTTGACTTTGAAAAGCCATATGGTTCCTGTTGAAAAAGTTTCAAATTTGTCAAAAGCTTAAAGTTTTGTTTGCTTAAATATTTTAAGACAATTCACAATTCTGATTTTGTTCTTTAGGTTGAAATAAAAACACGGCATGATTTCTTGTTTGATTTGTGTCACTTTCTTTTAGACTGCTTTTTGTGAAGCTCATTCGCCTTATTAATTGTAACCTGAGAGATAATTTAGCCTAGCGCAAATCAATTTTTTGCAATACAACCAATATAATATGATGCATGGTTTACTCGCCATGTTTAATCACGATCGTGACTAAAACACCACACGAGTACATACGAG